CAAACCCCTATGATTAATGTAGCACTGTCAGCTACTAGTGCAGAAGCTTGCTGGGCAAAATTAATTGTTTATTTATAGGGCATTTTGCTGAAAAAACAGTGTCCAGCCAACAAAAGCGCCAACCAAAATGACTGACACAAACCCCATCTTAGTGAGAATAGGTTGCCAATATAACCACCTTTTTCTTTTTCGTTCATTCTCATTTAGCCTCTGTTTCATCTGCTGCACCTTCTGAGCTGTGGTGGCCTTTCTGTCCTCTCGAATACGTTTCCGTAGAGCACTATGAAGAAATAAAAACAAGTAAAAGGAAGTGCACACAGGGCAGGACTTGAGTACTCCAACACAGAGGACCTAGGCGCAAATAAAACCATCCGTATCCACATAGTTTTCACCCTACTTGAACACAGGAATAATGAGGGGAAAAGCTTCAATTTTTTTTTTTTTGAGAGAGCGTCTTGCTCTGTCACCCAGCCTGGAGTGCAGTGGTGCAATCTTGGTTCACTGCAACCTCCGCCTCCCACGCTCAAGTGATTCTCCTGCCTCAGCCTCCCGAGTAACTGGGATTGCAAGCGTGCACCACCACACCCAGCTAATTTTTTGTATTTTTAGTAGAGACAGGGTTTTGCCATGTTGGCCAGGCTGATCGAACTCCTGACCTCAAGCAATTCAGCCGCCTTGGCCTCCCAAAGTGCTGAGATGAGTGAGCCACAGTGCCTGGCCAAGGAAAGCCTCAATATTCTTAAATGATTCAGAGATGTCCCTTGACAACCATTCCTGATACAGTTTTCTATTGATAACTGCTTTTAGTGGGACCTGAAAATAAGCAGGGAACTTTCTGGAAACGTGAAATGATGACTGTTAGTTTTCTTTCCTTCTTTGTTAACTAGTCAGCAGAAGCAGGAGTGGGAACACAAGGGGGTACTGCCTGCATCTGACCCCTTTCCTGGTCATGTTTGACGGTTAAGGCTCTTATAAAAGCTATCTATTTAATATTTCCACGAATGTTCTGTTCTGTTGTGGGAGCACCTATTCTTTTCTT